CAGGTAAATTTCTTCCCGTTTCGATTAAAAAAAGAATTTTTAAGGCTAACTGTTTTTACGACAAAGTTTACGCCTAACGGCTAAATTGTTTTGGCCCTTTTACGGTTAACGGTTAACCCCGTTTACACCCTAACATTAGTTTGCATATTCTCCATATTGTTCTTTATACATTTCCAAGGGAGCTGACGAGGAGAATTTGTTTAACAATCAAGAGCTCTACCCTATCATTTCCTCTTTTTTGATGATCATGATCTCAAATGAATGCTATGAGCGCTCCTCTCGACTTCCCGTCGAAAAAAATTGCTCTTTTATTTTTTTGCCCATGAAAAGGGTTTAGGACACGTGCTTATAAAAATCGTTTAGGTCTTCTCAAACTCTCTTTTCTGCGTCGCCACAAGCCAAACATCATTTTTGGCTGGACAACCCGTGTGGACAGCGATCGAAAGTGTAACACATTAATTTAAAATAATAACTTTCTATGACAAGTCTTGTTTTCCAAACCAATAACACTTGTGTTCTTTTCTATCTAAAAATTTCCAAGTCGGTCAATATTTGTTTTCCTTTGATTCATGTTAAACTAACTGTAAGCTTATCTTATTTTTTTCATTCAAATTCCGCGCTATTGATATTTCCATATTTTTTTCTTGTTACTTCAATATGTCATGATGGTTACTTACGACGTGACGCCTTCCCACAAGACAACACAATGAATAGGCGAAGAATGAGTCTCGAGGAGGTTTACCATAAGCCGTAAAAGTGCCAAAACATTTGGCAAATTTAAACCATTTGACGTAAACATAGTCAGCCTGCTCAAATTCCCAGAATAACATATGGATATAAGAAATCATAACGGCAATTGTAATTGGAATATAGAGCGACTATTTATCTGTCCTGAAAGAAAACTGAAAAGAAAGTGAAGTGATAAATTTACACAGACAACAGGAAAGCGAGATGAAGACTTGCCGTGTCGTATTTAGTACACCTCATTGCTTGCTTCATGTCAGAGGCAGTAAACGGGTCATCAAGTAAGTAAGTCACGGTCTTAAAAAATGTTGCTAATATCTCTTTCCTAAAATAAATATCTAGAACGTTTCCATCAAGTTTTATTCTCGCACTGTTTGGAATTTTGGGCTGGAGATTGGGGCGAGGAAGCCAAATTTGATCCAATTGCACATCTCCGACATTTGACTGCTGTGTTGCGTCAATGACAATTGAAACTTCATGATTTCTAAAACACTTTAATTATTCACGTCTTTCAACAATTTAGCGTTTTATTTCTTTGATTTACGGGACTCGTCGCGTGGAATTGCATACCCAG